ATTGATCAAAATTCTAAATCAATAACTATTCTTTTATTTCGTTATTTCTTTTATATCCAACCTTTAATTACTTTAACTTCATAATTCCTTCTTTAAATATAAATATTAAATTAATAAATCTTACTAACTGTTTATTTCCAGTTCATTCTTATTATTTTCTTTAATTATAATAACCCAACTCGGTTTTTCTTAATTTGTTTGGTTAAATAGTTTACTAGTCCAATTATATTAACTACATAATAATTTCATTATTTCGAATTTAAATAATCAATTTCAGTTCAGAATTCAGTTTACATAATTTACATAATTTATTTAATAACCCTTTTAATAATAACTTGACTTAGGCAATAATTCGAAATAATAATCATTAATGATAATCTAATCTCAATAACAACTTTAATTAGTTCAATAGTTTATTTATACTAACTAACCCAATTAAATTAATTTATCCAATCCTCCAGTTTTATTTATTTGACTCACTAATTTAATTGAACTAACTAAATCAAATAAATAAGTTTAATTATATCAATATAGCTAAATACGTTAATCTAATTCAATTAAGTCCAATAATCAAATTCTAATCCCGTTTTAATTTTCTATTTTTAATATAAAGTCCAGAAATGTTATCAAGTCTATAAATTAACTAATTTATCCATTAAACTAATTGATTTAGTACAGTTAAACAAGTCCAATGAAGTCAATTAACTAACTTATTAAGTACACATTACTTAATTAATTTGTTTATATTCATCAACTAATTTTTATGAGTTCAAATAGTTTAATAATTTATATGGAGTCCAAATCACTAATAATCAAGGATAATAATTATTAATTTAATCACGCTAATTTAATTAGTCAACTAATTCAAGAATTTATTTATTAAGTCCAAATATAGTCATTCATTTATACTAGATAACCCAACTTTATTTTCTTTTCCTTATTTTATTACAAACATCATTTTTAGTCCAGGACATTATTTTCAATCTTAGTGATTTATTTATTTCACCATTAATATCAAAATTTCATTATTTAATTACTTAACTAGTTTATATGGCTCAATTAAATTAAATAACTTAATCATCACTTTTATAAATTACTAATCATCCATAAATTAAATAACTTAATCATCACTTTTATAAATTAAATTAGTTTATAGTTTGGGTCTATACATGACCTAGGTTGTCCAGATATTTATTTTAGAATTATTTCCTTTATTTATTCACTTAATTTCATATATCTATTAACCGGTTTAATTACAATTAAATATGCTAATTATAATTTTTATTAATTATAAATGGTCCCAAATGTCCTAGTTAGTCATATATTTAATCTAGCTTGCTCCCATATTTATTTCATAATTATTTTCGTCATTTAGTTAATTATTTACTAAATGTGTACAACTTGGCCCAATTACAATTAAATCAATTAAAAATAGCTACCAATATTAATTTTCAATTATTCTTGGTCCGAATATGTATTTTTATACCAGGTATTTAATTTATATTTTTCCAGATTTTATATATTTCATTTACTATTTTATTTTTAATTTTTTATTGAAAACGGGCCGAACCGGCCCAAATTCGCGACCCGGCCCAAGAAGACTGGGTTGTCTCCTTCCCAGCTCTTCTCCAGGTCGCGATTCCGGCGACCGGAATCCCGAAAACTCCGGCGAGCGATAACTTTACTTACAGGTAACGGATTTCGACGATTCAAGTTGCAAAATGATCCTCACGTCGAGTAGAAGCTCCACCACCCCTATCTACGGCAAAATCGTGTCTTTTCTGAAGACCCGTTTCCACGGCTTGCAACTCCGGCGACCTCTAGGATGCTCCGGTGACTACGAATCGGTCTGGAATTTATTGGGAAGTATTCCTAGACCTCTCACGACCCTCCTCTCTTGCTTATAGGCAATTTCTTACGTAAATATATATATGTGTATATTTCCGGCGAGTAAGTATATATATATTTGCTCTACTCGTTTTCTTCAGTTTTGCATTGATTTAGAATGTCAATGGAGCTGTATTTATAGCTGTAGATCGACCCTTATGGAGCTGGACGAGTTGTGTGAATTATTGTGAATTATTTTGATAAGATACATACCTATTCATAATTCAATGTATACACATAATATTGTAGGTGTGAAGTCATGAAGCTGTTTCCTGGCATGTGAAGATGTCCTCCAGATCTTTGCTATTATTTTCTTATCAAAATATGTACTCCGTATTAATATGTGTGTGTTTATATGTGTGTGTTTTTGTTGTAGTATATGTACGTACTATATATATACATTACTTATACTATAGGTAGTTATATACGGAGTATATAGTATATTACTTATATATACTTATAGTTTATTCATTTGTATTACGTGTCACGTATGTATTATATTTCTTTTATTTCATTAATGTTTATAAAGTTACTTGTAATTATTTTATTTATTTCCATTTACTCTGACAGATATATTTTATCTGGTTTATTTCCATTTTTTTTCCGATGCTACATAAGTGTTTAATTCTATTGCATGTAGCAGTGTGCGTATATTTTTATACACCAAGTATAATAAAAAAAAAATTGATCTTACTTTCATTTGATTTATCAGATATAACTTATTTGATTTATCTATTTATTTTTATTTCAAATTTTCAAGGTATCACACTCCGTGACTCGGTTGATGTAGTGAACTCGAAAACACTGAAGACATGTATCTTTCTTTCTATACATAATTTGGACTTGAGTCCTGAAGGAGAAATGTGTATTTATGATATAGGAACCCAATGCAACTCGAAAATCCACTTTTCGTTGTCATATGCACAATCTAGGCCAATCTCCGTGACTCGGTTGATTTTAAATTTAGGTTATTTCTTAGATAATTAGAATAATGTATGTCTCCATGTCCTTAGGAACTATCAAAGATGAGTATACAGTTATATACTAATGTAAATCTCCAACTCATATTATAGGACACTTATACCTTAGTGGATAAGTGGGTCATTTAAACGAATCTATAGGTATATAATTACGGTGGATAACCCAATAATTGCTTGGAGATCCATGTTAATAACCTATTGTCATAATGAAACTTATAATTATCATAATTCAATGTTGTAGCGTAATATAGGAGAAATGTGTCATATAGGACTCAACATGTTAATGCAACTCATCTCCAAAAACCTACATGTTTCTTTGTCGAGTTGAATCCTGATCACCTTTGTCTTCAACGAGTCACGGAGTTGCATTGTCTTCACTATACCCGAATGTATATCACGGAATTACGTTGGGTGTATTTCGTTCCATGTCTTATTTTGGAGGACTCAGTGAATCAAGGAGAGTGGATGCCTATACTAACAAAGTGATATAGGACTATTATGTAATGATTGAAGAATTCAATTCCTAATTTCCCTGAAGTTTCCTCCATGTGCAAGAATGACAAAGGGATCTTCCATACACCTAGGAGTGACCTTCCTTCCAACCACCATTGAAGCTTCCTTCCACCTTCATAGTACCTAGTTTTGGTGCTATAAATAGAGAGCTTGGAGAGTCTTTCTATCATCAAGTAAATTAGAATAGATCATCATAGCACAACCAAGAAGAGTTGTGAATATCCTTGAGAGATATGTGAGGTGTTGTTTTGAGAGTTTTTAGTTAGAGCTTGTATGTCTCTTCTTTCTATTCTTGAAAGTAATAGAAGTGTTTTTCTCTCATATTAGCACGATCCTGTTATTCCCAACAAGTGGTATCAGAGCCTGGTTGAGCTTTTGATATTTTTCCCAGATTTTTTCAGATAAAATTCTACTGTCTGAAAAATCGAGTTTTTCAGTATTGCTCAGAATTGCAATCTGAATATACCGTTGGATTCGTCTCGTCGAGACGAGAAAACTGGTATTTTTGGGGATTTTTTTGGCCACCGGAAGCTGCCGTACGCGCCGCCAAACGCCGGCCATAAACTGCCTGCGTCATGCTGACGTCATCACGCGCAGACAGAGGTTGAAGACAGCTGACGTCATCGCTGACGTCATCAGCCAGCCAGAGCTGCGTCAGCGACACCTCAGCGCCACATGTGCAGTCCCAGCACAGTCAGCCGCCACGTCACTAGTCAACTGCCAACTTTCACCAGCGCCCAGTCAGCTGCCACGTCATCGCCCAGTCACCGCCACGTCACTGCCACGTCACCGGTCAGTTTTTAAATTTTGAAAAATTGCAGTTTGGTCCCTCAATTTTTGAAAAATTATAATTTCGGCCTATAATTTTTCGAAAATTGTATTTTGACCCCGAAAGTGCCTACCCACCATTTTCGGCCGTTCCGGACGCAACGGTGCTGCCCGTTTTTCGAAATTCTGCTCCGATTTTTCTGAAACAGAAAATCAAAATTATTTAGAAGGTGAAAATGACCTTTGACGAGTCAACTTCATCTTCCGGAGCTATGATTATGCTCACGGCTACCAACTACACGCTATGGAAACCTCGGATGGAAGATTTCCTTAGCTGTAAAGACCTTTTTGATCCAATAGAGATGAAAGGTATTAATCCTGACCCGGCTAAGTCAACGGAATGGAAGAAAATTAATAGAAAAACTATTGGTCAAATCCGACAATGGATTGACCATAGTGTCTTCCACCATGTTGCACAAGAAACCGATGCTTATGCCCTTTGGAAAAAGTTAGAAGATATGTACCAGGCCAAGACCGCTAGGAACAAGGCCCTACTGATGAGGCGTCTTGTCAATATGAAGCTCAAAAGTGGAACTTCTGTTGCCGAACATACTAGTCAATTTCAGAGTCTGGTAAATCAACTATCTTGTGTAGAAATGCCACTTGGAGATGAAATGCAATCTCTACTGCTTCTTAGTTCCCTTCCTGATAGTTGGGAGACACTAGTTGTTACTCTCAGCAACTCAGCCCCAGATGGCAAACTTACCATGTCTGTGGTCAAGGATGCACTGTTCAATGAGGAGGCAAGAAGGAAAGACATGAGCACAGATGAGACTCATGCCCTTGTGACAGAGAATAGAGGAAGATCACAAGGAAAACAACAAAGAAACAGTAGAGGGAAATGGCAAAGCAGGGGCAAAAGTCGGGGGAGATCATCAGATGGCCGGAAACCTTCTTATACCTGCCACCATTGCGGTATAGAGGGTCACATGAAGAAGAATTGCTACAAATTGCTAGAGGAGCGAGGCAAGAGCAATTCTCAAGCGAAGAGCAAGGGTGGTGAAGCGCTCATCACAATCTCAGGTGATGTGGCGTATTGTACTATCAATGATGAAACATGCCTTCACGTCTCAAGAGAGGACACTGAATGGGTGGTAGATACTGCAGCATCCTACCATGTTACTCCCCACAGGTACTACTTCACAACTTACAAAGCTGGAGACTTTGGAGCAGTGAAGATGGGCAATTCCAGTTCATCTGAAATAGCTGGAATTGGTGATGTACAAATAAAGACGAGTTCTGGGAGCACAATCACGTTGAAGGATGTCAGACATGTTCCAGACCTTCGTCTCAATCTCCTGTCAGTGGTATGTCTTGACGAACAGGGGTATGAAAACCACTTTAACAGGGGCACCTGGAAAATGTCAAAGGGCGTTTTGACAATCGCTCGAGGACATGTTTGTGGCACATTGTACAAAACTCATTTGAGGATTTGTACGGATAGCCTCAATATTGCTGAGGAGACTACTCAGAATCTGTGGCATCTGAGGCTCGGCCACATCGGTGAGAAAGGGCTGACTACCTTGATTAAGAAGAACCTTATCAACATCGACAAGAATGCTGCACTGGGTCCTTGCAGTCATTGTCTGTTTGGTAAGCATCATAGAGTATCATTCAGTTCTACTTCAGCTAAAAGATCAGAGTTGTTAAGTTTGGTACACTCCGACGTCTGTGGTCCTTTCGAGGTGGAATCAATCGGTGGAAGCAGATATTTTCTGACTTTTATTGATGATGCTTCTCGGAAAGTGTGGGTGTATTTCCTGATTACGAAAGATCAGGTATTTGAGTGCTTCAAGACATTTCACGTCTTGGTGGAACGTGAAACGGGAAAGAAGCTGAAATGTCTCCGATCTGATAATGGAGGCGAGTATACTTCTAAGGCGTTCGATGCATATTGTAGAGAATATGGCATTCGACATGAGAAGACAGTACCACGCACCCCTCAGCACAACGGCGTTGCTGAAAGAATGAACCGGACTATCATGGAGCGTGTCCGGAGCATGCTGAATATGGCTAAGCTTCCGAAGTCATTCTGGGCAGAAGCAGTCAACACCACATGCTACCTTATCAACCGATCACCTTCGGTACCACTGAACTTTGAAGTTCCAGAGAGGTTATGGACAGGTAAGGATCCTACATACTCACATCTTAGAGTATTTGGCTGTTCATCATATGCACATGTATCCAAAGAGCTCAGGCAGAAGCTCGATCCAAGAACTATCCCATGCATTTTCGTTGGCTATGGAAATGAAGAGTTTGGATACAGGCTATGGGATCCTAAGGAGAAAAAGGTGTTCAGAAGTAGGGATGTTGTGTTCCACGAAGATTTGACAATAGAAGACATTGAAAAACCCACAATGTCTCGGAAGTCAAATGAGGGTGTTCAAGTTTCAAATGAAGCACCAGAAGAGGACAAAGTGCATGAAGATAACTCAGAAACAGAAGAAGGCGAGGAGACAGAAGAGAGTGCAGAGCAAGGGGAGACACAATCCACCCCGCCAGACACAGATGATGGTAGCTCTTCTCAGATGGTTCCTACTGTTCGTAGATCTGAACGAGGGTATATACCATCGACAAGGTACACATCATCCGAATATCTTTTGTTAACTGAAGATGGAGAACCGGAGAGTTTTCAAGAAGCTGTATCTCATAAGGATAAAGAAAAATGGCTAATAGCAATGCAGGATGAGTTAGAATCTCTGCAGAAAAATCAAACTTATGAGATCGTAGAACTTCCTAAAGGGAAGAAGGCACTAAGGAACAAATGGGTGTTCAAGCTGAAGAAGGATGCAAGCGGACAAGTGGTGAAACACAAAGCTCGGTTGGTTGTCAAAGGGTTCCAGCAGAAGAAAGGAATTGACTTTGATGAGATCTTTGCACCAGTTGTCAAGATGACCTCAATCCGAGTTATTCTTGGCTTGGCAGCAAGTATGAACTTGGAGCTTGAACAGATGGATGTGAAGACAGCATTTCTTCACGGAGATTTGAAAGAAGAAATCTACATGCAGCAGCCGGAAGGTTTTGAGAACTCAAATGATAACTTTGTGTGTAAGTTATCTAAAAGTTTGTATGGCTTGAAGCAGGCACCAAGGCAGTGGAATAAGAAGTTTGACTCATGCATGAAGAGTCAAGGCTACAAGAAGACTACTGCAGATGAGTGTGTATACATCAAGAAACTTCCAGACGGTACCTTCATTGCTCTTCTACTATATGTAGACGACATGTTGATCGTTGGGAAAGATGCAGTGAAGATAAACCAACTGAAGAAAGAACTCTCTAAGTCTTTTGATATGAAAGACTTAGGACCGGCTCAACAGATTCTTGGGATGCAGATCACTCGAGACAGGAAGAATCGCAAGTTATGGCTATCTCAGGAGAAGTACATTGAACGAGTACTTGAGAGATTCAACATGAATGATGCCAAGCCAGTAAGTGTTCCACTTGCGAATCACTTCAAGTTGAGCAAAAGAACATGCCCTACATCCAAGGAAGAGATCGGGGAGATGTCAGCAGTTCCATATTCTTCAGCAGTTGGGAGTTTGATGTACGCCATGGTATGCACAAGGCCAGACATCGCACAGGCAGTGGGTACAGTGAGTCGTTTTCTCTCTAACCCCGGGAAGGAGCATTGGGAGGCAGTCAAATGGATTCTCAGGTACTTGAAAGGTACCACGAAGTTATGTCTTTGTTATGGAGGAGCTGATCCAGTCTTGGAAGGCTACACAGATGCTGATATGGCAGGAGATACTGATAGTAGAAAGTCTACTTCAGGATATATCTACACTTTTGCAGGGGGAGCCGTTTCTTGGCAATCAAGATTGCAGAAGTGTGTCGCTTTATCTACTACAGAAGCAGAATACATTGCTGCCGCTGAAGCAGGTAAGGAAATGTTGTGGCTAAAGCGTTTTCTCCAAGAACTTGGGATCCAGCAGAAAGAGTACAAGGTACATTGTGACAGTCAGAGTGCTCTAGACTTGAGCAAGAATTCTATGTACCATTCTCGTACAAAGCATATTGACATTCGGTATCATTGGATACGGGAGACGATTGATCAACAACTGTTGAGACTAGTGAAGATCAATACAAAGGAGAATCCATCAGACATGCTGACGAAGGTGGTAACACGAGATAAGCTAGAGCTATGCAGAGACATAGTCGGGATGCTTGTTTTGAATATGCCTGGAAGGGGAGAATTGAAGAATTCAATTTCCAGGTCATATCCAAGTACAAGCAAATTGAAGAATCCAATTCCTAATGTCCCTGAAGTTTCCTCCATGTGCAAGAATGACAAAGGGATCTTCCATACACCTAGGAGTGACCTTCCTTCCAACCACCATTGAAGCTTCCTTCCACCTTCATAGTACCTAGTTTTGGTGCTATAAATAGAGAGCTTGGAGAGTCTTTCTATCATCAAGTAAATTAGAATAGATCATCATAGCACAACCAAGAAGAGTTGTGAATATCCTTGAGAGATATGTGAGGTGTTGTTTTGAGAGTTTTTAGTTAGAGCTTGTATGTCTCTTCTTTCTATTCTTGAAAGTAATAGAAGTGTTTTTCTCTCATATTAGCACGATCCTGTTATTCCCAACAATGATAGTTATCAGATATAATATGTATAGGTCACGTTATAATTCATATTAGACTTGTTATGTATCTTTTCTATACATAATCTATAGGAGGTTGATTTAGGATGTTTTCTTTTGGACTGTTTTCAGTCCCAGACCAGACCAGACCAGACTTAAACAGATCAGACCAGACCAGACCAGACTTAAACAGACCAGACCAGACCAGACCAGACTTTAACAGACCAGACCAGACCAGACCAGACTTCCGTAGTTATAAAATACACAGAGACCAGACGTTTACCAGACCAGACCAGACCAGTTCAGACCAGACCAGACCAGACCAGACTTAAACAGACCAGACCAGACTAGACCAGCAAATTTCAGTCCAAAAGAAAACATCCTTACATGATCATGGAGAGGGTGTGGGTTCGTCCACACTCTTGGAACCTATAATTGAGAACTGGATTATATCACTGAGAAAGATACATTATGATTTGCATGTATCTCATTTGGTTCCTACGATAGTATATAATTTAATATCGGGTACACCCACTATATAAACTAGTGACATGTATATCAGAAAATTTGTAAATATCTTCGTGTATCAAAAATGCACAAATGATTAATTATAGATATAATTAATGCATAATATTGTCCTATAATATAAGATATGTGTATTTCTAAATGTTTACAATCTGTAAACCCGAATATACATGTATCTATACATGTATGACATAGAAAGATTTTCGGCATTAGGACAATGCAATATAGTGTCACTTTCAGTGTGTACCTTGTGCATTAGAAAATATACTACTCAATCTGTATAAGTAAACATATTATAATCATAACCGTATATTTAGAAACATTTACACTGAGGATACATGTATACTCGATATAATCCAAATTAATGAGTATGTCTACCTTCAATTATATAATCTATGGTAAATTACTTACATACACACGTGTCCACTTTCATACGGAGATCTTTCTCAAATTTCTATTGTGTATGAAATTATCCATGTCTAGTTAGATGTATACACGTTATTATATTCAATAACGGGTATCAACATAAGATTTTTTAAGGGAGAAAGACTCCAATAGGACTAAAACATAACCTTTGCACTTAAATAGGACCGAGAGCTTTTATAAACATAAATAGGACTAAAGTTGATCAAAGGGACAAAATTACCCTGCATTCATACGGAGTAGTCTTCGTGGGCTGAGGCAACAAGCTCTCTCTCTCCCGCTTCGCACAAAAGCTGAGTCCCCGACTCCCTGCGCGCGATTCACTGCAATTAGCAAATGCATTAATCGATTCATCCATCGGCCACCATCAATTTCATAGACCCCCGCAGGGAGCTGCCGCAACGCTGCCTGGAGCTGTCATCCGCCATCGGGAGCTGGTGACCGCCGTCCACCACCGCACACTGCTAAAACGTTGGATAACTCTTCTCGTGAACTGCTGGTCTGCCGGAGAAATGCTGTTGCTCTCCTTTGGCGTGAAGCTGCCAATGCATAGTTCTATTCCTGACCTTTTCTTTTGCTTTCTACTTCAATTTTGTCAATTTTACTCTTTGTTATTTTACTCTGTTTTGGTTGTTTTGACATTCCATTCAAACAGTCACATGTTGTCGCTGAATTCATTGTTGCTAGTCGTCGCTTGTCATTCATTATCACAAAAATATGGGGACACCCTGACAAGAGTGATCCAAATCATTTGAATGAGAAATAGAGCTTTTATCAAATAAAGTTTCGATTGATTTTTAAATAATTTTAGAAAGCTTATATTCTAGCAGGAGAAATTAGGATTTTGGGATTTGTACAAAACCAATTTCTTGTTCTACTTCAGACTACTTGTGCGTGGATGAACTGTGGAGAAGGAAGGTGATATATTGAGCTCAGCAAAGTCACTTATTGAGCTTTCTTCTTTTTGCTGTCCAGATCTAATTGTGATTTTTCTCTTGTTACAATTTTGAGTTGGATTTGTGATTGAAATTTTAAAATTTGGAACCAAAATGAATTCGGGTTGATCTGGCATATCTTGACACAATGCCAATGCTAATAATAATGTTATAAAAATGTATACAAATGTCACTGGGTTAACAAAATATTACAATGACAATGTCATTGTCGATGCTATAAAATGGCATTTGTAATTATGAAAATGTTAATAGCTATTATGACAATGTTAATTTAAAAAAATAATGTCAAAAGAATGCCATAAAATGTACTCCGTATTAAAAATGTCAAAAAAACGTATAAAATGTCACCGGTTTAAAAAATGTCACAATGGTGATATCATTGCCGATTCTATAAAATGACATTGTAATGATGACAATGTCAATAGCTATTATGACAATATTAATTTCATAGTCACAATATCAAATCCCTAGCAGAAACTCGGAAGAAATGCATTTTTGTTCTGAAGTTATATATGAGGAACCATTCTAAGTACTATTTTGAGTTGGATTTGTGATTCAAATTTTAAAATGTGGATCCAAAATGAAATTGGGTTGACCCGACATATCTTGACACAATGACAATGGTAATGTCATAAAATGTACAAAATGTCACTGAATTAAGAAAATGTCACAATGGAAATGTCATTGTCGATGCTATAAAATGACATTGTAATTATGACAATGTCAATAGTCATTGTGACAATGTTAATTTTATAAAAGAAAAGTCACAATGTCAAAAAATGTTATATTGATAATTAATCACGACGACAATGTCATAAAAATGTAATAAAAATGTCAATGATAATGACATCAGAATGATAATGACAATGACAATGTCATAAGAATGTCAATCATTACGAAAATGACATTGTTAAAAATAATGACATTTTATTTTCAACAGGTGCAACGTTTGCAAGACAAAACAAATTCACATTCATCACTTTATACTTAATGTTTATTTTCCCTTGTCTATAAATATAATATAATGTAAATGACCAAAGGAATCAAAATAACAATTTTTTTATACGTAGGAATCCAAATAACAATGAAGAAGCAATTAATATAGGGAGTAAAAATTAAACAAAACCAACTAAAATTGAGATTTGGAAAAGGAAAATTAGAAAAACATCAAAACCAAACACAAGTGCCCTGGAACGATTCTAATGATACATATGTAAAAACAATGTTGTCAAACAAAACTTCACAATGTCATGTGTCTCAAAAAAGATTAATCAAAACAAGCCATGAAGAAATTGAAAAAACGATGAAGAAATTGAAAAAACGATGAAGAAATTGAAAAACGATGAAAAACGATGAAAAACAAACCATTAAGTGCTTTTTTGAATTGGATTTGTGATTCAAATTTTAAAACGTGGAACCAAAATGAATCCAGGTTGATCTGATATATATCTTGACACAATGGCAATGTCATAAAAATGTATAAAAATTTTACCGGGTTAAGAAAATGTTATTGTCGATGCTATAAAATGACATTGTAATTATGACAATGTCAATAGTTATTATGACAATGTTAATTTTATTTAAAAAACAGTCAAAAGAATGTCATAAAAATGTCACTAAAATGAATAAAAATGTCACCAGAAAATGTCACAATGGCAATGTCATTGTCGATACAATAAAATGACAGTGTAAGTAAGATAATGTCAATAGCTATTATGACAATTAATTTTATAAAAAAAGTCACAATGTCAAAAAAATATTGTAATGTCAATTATTCACGATGACAATGTCATAAAAATGTCAATAATAATGTCATAAAAATGTAAATGACAATGTCATCAAAATGTCAATCATTATGAAAATGACATTGTTAAAACTAATGACATTTTTATTTTCAAGAGGTTCAACGTTTGCAAGACAAAGTTAATTCACATTCATCAGTTATACATTCTGCTTATTTATCCTTGACCGTTAAAATATAATATAAATGATTCAAAAATAATGTAAATGGCTAAAAGGAATAAAAAATAACAATGAAGAAACAATTAACATAAGAATTAAACAAAACATTTAAACCAAACAGCCCTGCATGAACGATTGGAATGACACGGATAAGGTCATCTACGAAAGGAAAAAAAGAAGAGACAAAGGCCGGCGCGAGAGAGGAAAACAGCCGCGAGAGAGAGAAAATACGAAGTGGAGAAAGTTGAGGAGGTAGAGAAAAAGAAGAAGAAGAAGAGATCCGTAAGTTTCCGCTGCAATCGCCGGCGGCTCAGACCTGTTGAGGAGGAGAAAGTGTCGGCTCAGTCCTGTTGCCGCCGCTGCAATCGGCGGCGGCGGCGCGCGGCCGCACCACCTCATCCCATTAATTTTCCGCGAGCTGCCTTTGATCTGTTGTCCCGTAAATTGCTCCCCCAATCCCATGTCCTATGGCTGTGTGCGTGAACTGGAAAAGACAAAGGTAATAATATAATAGGGGTAAATTGGGAAGACACGGAAAAATAAATCCTATTTAGGAGTTAAAAAGCTTGGAGTCCTATTTAGGTACATTAAGTTATTTTTGGTCCTATTTAGGATCATTTCTCTTTTTTTTAATGTGTCTTATATTTATATATCAACTATATAAACCTCTTAGACATGTAGATAGGACATTATACAGTATTGTGTTATACACTCCGATATTTCGTGTCTTCTGTATACTGGTATATACAATGTCCTATTGATATCTCACAATAGTGAAGATATATTGAAAGATTATTTATACATATAGATTTATATGGGTTCATATGTATACAGTATACCTTGCCACGGTTTAAACCCGATTATATATACAATGTTCCTACATAGTATAACCCAATGCACTATATCATATTCCAAATCATGTTTAAACTATTATGTAAACCTTTGTGAGCTTTATTATATCACATCTAGACATGTTTATAATTTAATACATATATTAAATTATATCAATAATTTTAAACATATATCAATGTA